ACCTGCCGCCTATAGCCCCCGACGCAGCTATGAGTCAATCTGACCTCTGACAACTGGAGGACAGGTGTGGCCTCATAACACGCACCCACGCACGCACGCACGCACGCACGCACGCACACACACACACACACACACACACACACACACACACACACACACATCCATTCTCTGAACTGCTTATCCTCACGAGGGTCGTGGTCGTGCTGGAAAGAAAACTGACAATGGAAAAACGAGACCCAGAGCACAAACTCAACAAAAGTGAATCAGGAAGAGCGAATGATGATGATGATGATGATGATGATGATTTCAAGATTAGAATTGAGATGTTGAAAAGCCAGTCAGAAACGATGATATTTTTTATTTTACAATGAAATCAACATGCCTAACAGCCCTATTTGGTCAAATAAAAGAGATCAAAACTAACTCAAAAGTGCAATTTTAACAATAAGTAATGACTGAGCCTCAATGTCAACAACAAAATTACTCCAAGGGTCCATAAGAAAGTGTTCCGGCATTAAAAATAAATAAATAAATAAAATACCCCCCCCCCAAAAAAAAAACATTAATTGCTAAGTGAAAAAAAAGTCCCTCCACCTGGAGGTTGCTCTCATTTGGGAATTGGTTGGTATGGTTATGCTGTGATTAGCCGTGGCAGCCAAGTGATCTTAGCAAGCAGCAGGAGGACGTATGACATTTATTTTTCAAACCCCTGACCCAGAGGATGAAAAATGTATGTCTCCAGCTTAGCCAAGGCGGTGTGGGTAATCATTTATGCCCGTGTCTCTGGTCCCGTGACTCGACCTCACTGGTTCGGTGTCTGGCAAGTGATGCATGATGCTTCCCCTTCACTTCCTTTTCCATACTCATGCTCCCATCTAGTCCTGTCCACCTTGCCTTCCTCCCATCCCCGACAGGATGTTGTCAGCTTGTCTCTCTGTTGATTTGCACCTGTCAAGTTCAAAACTTGACCCAGAGTCAGCTACCATGCTCAGCTCCCTTTTCTCTCCCTCCATCAGCACCCCGCCCCCGTATTGTGCCTCATGTTTAGCCGTTTCCACACTCTCTAAATCTTCTCATTGTCCAACTGTATGCATATTCATCATCCACTGACAGAGACACGCAGCTCTTTGTCATATGCAAAGACGCGCGTGATGAATCACACATTATATAAAATGATTCAAATGTCATGTTCAGCTTCCTATTTGATGCATACCCAGATCTGCTGTGTAATGAAACATTTCAAGGTTCGTGGCGGCACCGTGATGCATGAGGTTTGCGTGTCTGTCTCACAGTCAAAATGTTCTGGGTTCAAATGTAATTTTTGACACTTCTAGCTGTTTTTGCATGCTCTTTCTGTGCTTGCATGAGTCTTTTTTGCGAGTCCTCAGGTTATTTGAAACATCAGTTTTCTAAAAGTGTAAATGTAAATGATTTATTGTCTAACTCAACGATGACAGGCTCTAACTCAACCGTGACAGGATGAAAAATGTTGACCAAACAGCAGCCTTTGACACAGCTGACAGCAATACACCATTGGACTCTCAGAAAAACGTACATACATGGCTTAGCATCCTGATGAGAGTGTGCAAATCTGAACACAGCACCCCAATCCTGAAATCACTTCACTGGCTCCTGGTCTCTTTCAAAATTGAGTACATGTCACCCTCCTCACCCACCAGGGGATTCAGGGAATCCCCCCGACACACCTCAAAAACTCTTCACACCCAAGACGAGATCGTAACACTTTTTACAAAAGTCTTTTCCGACTCTTTCCATTCAATTAATTCTATCCAAATGGATCAAAAGATCTTCCATCTCTGCAATGGAAGCAGTACCTTGACTTATGAATGCTGCACTTTACGAGTTATGTGCAATCATTATTTTTTTATTTGTGTTCCAAGCTCTAGATATGAAGAGAAGTGGAAGTAGAAAAAAAATCGAGCAGTTAAGGAACATTTTAGTAAAACCTCTGCTCACGAACAAATTGGTTTCAGAAAAAAACATCAGACAAATTTGTCTTGGGTCTACAGATTATGTGCAATTTGTATTTTCTCTTACGCAATCTTTCACGTCACATATTTCACATTCATATCTTTTTTGTGTGCTGTAAATTAGACCTCAATATGGCTTCCAAGTGGTGAGGGAACATAGTGATTTTATTGAATTATTTCTGCAGAAATTCTGTAAAAAGTCCTCTCTGCAGTACCAGGGGAGAAGTTCTGTTCCTGTGGAAATGCGGGTGCTGATCAGTCACTGCTGGTGCATGTAACTGAGCGCTGCAGTACAACTTTGTGGAAAACACTTTCAAAAATGGCCTTCCCTGCCGCTAGAGGTGCGGTGCGAGTGGGTCATCGTAAGGGGGCACAGCGACTGGCGCAAATCTCCCAGCTCAGCATGGTCTCTGTGATTTTGGCGGGCTGGAATGGATTTATTGTATTAATTTCACTGGAGGAAATTCATTTGACATTAAACTCATAATTCAAGGTATTCGAAAGAAGACTGTGCTGCTTTCTAGTACAGTTCACTTGCTCGTTTCATCTCAATGTGCAGTAAGTAGTGTTTGTCTCTCTGTGAAAAACTAAAAAGTTGATAACTTGGGCAATTAGCAGAACTTAAAAGTGTAGACTATAACCTTTCACATTATGGAAATTAAAATACAAACGTGTTCCTTTCCTCTAAGAAAAGGATAAGAATGTTCAAGAGGAGAGAAATTGTTATTTTATCAACTTTCTGCTGCACGACACTAAGCTAGGAAAGCGTCTGGATGCTGTAAAGGCATAATATGCAGTCTGGCAGATGTGCGAAGTAGGTGTTCATACCGTCATTGCATGCTGATTATGCAATATGGTTGCCGTTGGACTCAGTAAGCCGAACATTTGTTGCTTGACATTTAACATCCAGAGAGGTTTAGCACAAAGAAAGACCACCGCAGGTGGACGCATGCTGTGTCAACTGCTTTCGCTCCATCCTAGTGTGTGTGTGTGTGTGTGTGTGTGTGTGTGTGTGTGTATACTCTATGGGCAACCTAAATAGCAAATACACACGCAAACACTTACATCCAATTAGCCCAGAGGCTATTACTTGCTATTAACCTTCAGAGCATCTCCACTGGCTCATAAACTCTGCATGGTTGTCTCTGAGAGATGGATGATACCTTAAATATAGTCCCCGTGTTGAACTCTAACCCCTAATGATGAACAATGAGGCTTTTGGGCCTGGTGCTGTTGCATAGGGGAGATTTTCACAAGATGGCTGCTCATAATGCGACACCTATGTGCTCAGACAGACGGTGTTTTTCAATCGAATTTTCATTCCAGTGTGCACATGCAGTACAGCAGAACCAAAGAGGATGTTTGCGGTCTGGTCTCTTGAGTTCTTCATGTTCTAGTCAGCGCTCTGCAGCGTTTTTCAGACAAAATTAGCTCAATTACCATTCGGGAATTGGATCTATTGTACCTGATTGTCTGCTGCATCTGTAGGCGATCGGGATCTGTGGCTGAAAAGGTCGTTAGACTCGTGCCAGCTGGAACACTCTCCTCAAATCGGATGTGTTTCGGATTAGTGGGGAAGTAAGGGGGTTCATTGACATCCTGGACAGATATGGTTACACCCGCCGTGGACTGGAGGGAGGACTGGATCCCACTGGCCAGATGGGCCTGGTTGGACACCACAACTGTCAGCATGAAGGCTCGGTTCATCTCAAAGTCAACTGCCTAGAAAAAAGAAAGTACACAGGGGAAGGTTATTTTTGATTAAAGTTGCTAAGTTTAGTCACTAAATCTCCTATCCCACAGAGTGGCGAAATTTTCCCAGTATTTGTGATGGTAGTGAATGTTGCGCTCTCGTCAGGGTTCGGCAGGATTCATTTAAAGTCACACACATATCGATCGATCGATCGATCGATCGATCGATCGATCTATCTATCTATCTATCTATCGATCGATCGATCGATCGATCGATCGATCGATCGATCGATCGATCGATCTATCTATCTAACGTTTTATTATTATTATTAGTAGTAGTAGGAACCAATTGTAAAGGGGTTCTGCCTAGTTGACATGCAGTCCCCAACACGCACTCAAACAGACATCTACTTTGTGAGCTCTGCACAGCCATTATGAAACGAAGATACTGTAGCATAGTGAAAAGCATAGTGAACTACTGACTAAATGAAGAAGGAGACAAGCAATATTTCTAAGGATATTTAGCCCCTTGTGGATGTGAGCCCAATAGGTTTGTGTGCCTTTTTGTTGAATCAGTTGTCTTCATAACTTTCGTCTTTCATTTATTGTTTTGTAATGCCACTTGTATTTATGTTTCATATCCGTGTTTGTGACCAGTTCTAATGGATTTGTTACTGCTGCAGCGGTTGTGAAGGCTCTGTATAAATAAAGCTCTACAGTATTGTATTGTATTGTATTCCTGTAGCGTAGCACCATCTTCTGGATGCATAGCGTAACCGCAGCCACTATAATAATAACAATAATAATACATTACATTTATAAGCGCCTTTCAAAACACTCAAGGACACTTTACAATCAAAACAAGAACAATAAAACCACAGATAAAATTTTAAATAATAAAAGGAGAGATGAATTTAAACTGAATTTAGCGACTCGAAATAGTTGACGCCGGCAACATCGCCACCACAAGGAGCACCAGCTGACCCAGCCAGGCCGGCCCCCGCCACTGGGCACCGCATCATTCCCCCCACGGGCAGATGGAGGAGCGACAGGACGGTCCACAGCAGCGTAGCCCAGACACAGGACCCGTCGACCCCCACCACGGGGCGCAGAGGAGCGGAGAAGGCACGGAGCACCGTCCGACAGCCGAACAGGCAGGACGCCGCGACAGCGCGACCGAGGACAACCGTGCGACGACCGACGGTCCAAAACCACAACGAATTGCGACAGGAGAGGAGGGTTTCTCCCATGACGAGAGTAAACCATAAAAAACCCCGTAAAACAAACGCTAAAAAAGAATGAGAGAAGGGTGAGCAGCGGCAGCCAGACGCGCCAGCGTTCACTCAACCCGGAAGTGACCCGGAAGTCCTCCGAAGACTATTGCGCCTTATAATGCAGTGCGCCCTATATATGAAGACAGGTTTAAAATAGGCCATTCATTGAAGGTGCGCCTCATAATCCAAGGCGTTTTATAGTGCAGACAATACACACACACACACACACACACACACACACACACACACACGCATTACGGGTGTGCGTCTCTGCACAGTAGAAATTTCTATATGATTTTTACATGGGGTGCAAAGCATACATTGTAAATAATAGAATGGAGGGCTGTCACTTTTGAATCATTTTAGGATCAGTCCAAAATCTCTCTAAACCCTCCAGACCCCCATTCAACCCCTCTCCTACTCCTACTCTTGCTAATCCACACATCACTGGATCCTCCAATTTGTATCCTTGCTTCACTTCACTCGTCCTCCCTGATCCACCGTCTATCTTTTGAGTTTATCATTTTCTGTGATGAACATATCTTAATGACTCACTGCAATCAAGAGTCACGTGTTTGTGTATTTCCATGCATTTGTTTTCTTCCCGTTTGTCTATTGCAAACCTTTTATCCTTACCCTAAAAATGTGAATGCCTTCTCATGATCTCCCCAGAGAGCTGTGCAAATGTGACAAGCTATGTTTAAGACCTTCGCCTTTGTTTACAGATGAGCTTCAGTGCCCCATGGGTGATTGTGCATACGTGGTTGCGGTGAATTCTTGTGCGCTAGCAGCACATTGGTAAAAATAAGAGGGTCTCTTATGACGTCTTGACTTTATCGTTTGCATGATGTCTGATGTGAACCATTCCGCCTGCTGTTCCCTGGAGTGACTCTGTTTACCTCGCGCAGCAGTCTATTTCTTGTCGTTCCCAGGGGGAGTACTGTCCCTTCTTTTATGATTTTCCGATAATATCCCGCGGGTCTCAATGGAAGCCTGCGGCTACTCGGCTGCCTCCTGAATTTTACATCAGGTAGTGTGAGAGATGGACAATGAAAGGCACTCATGTAGAGATAATGAAGAGAAGCAAAATGCCAACGTGCACTGTTACGGGGGTCCTCTGGGAATTATATAAAACGCTGTTGTTATTTCTTAAGCATTATTGTCAGACATAAGACTTGATTTGCTGAGGATATAACGTCATGAACAAATTATTTCTGCAAGATGTGTACAGCTGCTCATAGATGAATGCACACAAAAAGGCAATACACAAGTAGATACACACTTGAAGGATTTTCTTTTTCTGCCTTCATAAGAAATGGGTTAAACAAGCTGGGCCAGCCATGGTCCGATTGGCTGAGCACAGGAACAAGACAAATCATTCTTGGTTCTGTCGTTCACTGCAGCAGGTATCCCATTATAGGTGTGTAAAACCACTGCCTCCGTAATTGGGAAATCAATACCTTATTGCTACAGTGATCTTGCCAGCCATTTCGTTAAGGTATGCGTGTGGGAGTTTTTCAGGACTTCCAATTCCTCATTTTAGACACGAAGGGTCATTCCAAAGGCAAAGACTGCAGACTGGCCCTAGGAAGGGCCTTGTGTTTGATTACTATCGTTTGCACTTGAGATCACACTCGATGATGCATTTAAAGCTAACAATGTGATGTTGACCTCGATGGGGAAAAAAGCAAAAAAACAAAAGTTGCAAAGTCATTGTCTTACCTTTACCACAGTCACCATGCCATCGTTGCTTACAGGGTCAGTGCGAATGGTGAAGTGACCGGATGGATCGCCACTGATGATCCTGTAAACAGCATTCCAGTTGGGGGAATGCGGTTGGTCGGCATCTATCACCGTCAGGTTAGCCACCACCACATCCACCCGGTTCTCAGGAACCTCACCGGAAAACTGCAGAGATCGAAAAATAAATAAATAAATACTTGAAATAAATAAATAAAAATGTTACCTTGAAAAACGTTTTATTTTCCCAAATGTCCTTTACGGACATACTGTATTGTGGCAATTTGTTCAAAACATGTCTGTCTTCCATTTCTCGTAAGTGAAGGAGTCATTCTTTCAGAGTTTCAGGTAAAGTAGGTTGAATGATCCTGCTTTTGCGACTGCTGAGGTACAAACAAGCGGTAAACACACTTGCACATTGGACATGCACTTGCGCACAGGTGTGTTGTCGAAAGTTTTTCTGTTTTTTTCTGCACTTCTTGCCCTCACTCATGCACATTAATATCCTGTCCCTTTGAAAGCCAATCAGAAAGGAAGAGGCAGTGAAGAAAGCCAAGAGGAGCCACCAGTGGAGGAGGCAAGAACATCTGTTTGAGCGTAAATGAGTGGCTTTTAGTTGTCTCCTTGCTGTGCTAACATGTGCTGTGCCCCGATAAGCCTGACGACGAGTGAGCTGCTGTCTGTCAGATGTCTGTTATGGTGGGGATTGACCAAAGTCACACCGGCTCAGGGGATAACGATGAACCAGAGGACCCGCCTACACGAAGAACCCAAAAACTCACAAGTGACTGCGTATGGTCGAAGGGTGATTACTTGCTTTGCTTGACTCATCTGGAAGCAACAGGCATGAAGCATCCCAGCGTCACCATGGGTAACAGAAGCAGTTGAAACCACTGAGCCGCTTATGTGAGTTTATGATATCAAAGAGCAAAGCCCCGGACCAAATTCTCCAACGGGTCGTAATACCCGGCACAACCTTCGCATCAACTAGCAAACAGCTGACAGCTGTGGCTGAATTCGGGACCTATGTCTGGAGAGCTGTTTGGAGACTTGGTGACATTCTTAAGACAACACACAGGTCCAGGTGGTCCTAAGTGGCAGGTTGAGTGAGAAACAATTAGTCCACGGGTGTGCTCATGTTTTTGTTCACAGACTGTCGAGAGCATCCAGATTTGGTGACATCTGCCACTGCTGCTGAGTGAAGAAACCACAAATGATAAATTGAGTGTGAATTCATCTTCAGTGATTTCGTTACCTAGTTAACATGGTTGCAAAAAGTGTTAATTTTTTTACTCGCCACACTCTTAGTAGAAAAACAATTATTCTTAATTTGAACAAAGCTCAGTCATGATCATTTAGATCAAACATTGATTGCTTCATTTGCAAAATGAGAAAATGTGTTTGCCAAAATGATTAAAAAAATGGAAAGGATTTAAGTGATTTATTGTTTATATATGATTGTTGTATATGATGGAAATTATACTGCAAAAGAAACGTTACCATTTTTCCAAACCAAATATTAGTAAATGCAATCAGGTTATCTCCTTCATACAAGGCATTGCTAATGTTCTGTGCATGCTCTTGTTTTTATAGTACAGGAAGTATGTGTATGCTCTGTGCCCTCGTCGTAGGTTTCAGTGACAGAGTTAAGGTGAGGGCTGATCTTAGATCGTTCATTTTTGGGTCTAAAAACAATAATTTCTGTCTTTTCTGGATCGTGCTGGAGAAAATTCTGCTCCATTCACTCATTGATTTGATGAATACACTTTTTATGAAAGTACAGCCTTGTTCCCACAGAGGTGTGAACGTTTGCAACAGTTGGTAAAGGTAGCAAAATGCGCATTCACATCAGGGTTCGTCTGGGTTTGTTAAAAGTCACAAACTTTTGCAAAATTTTCACCAGACATTCGCCAAAGGTTTTAGTGTTTTTTCTTGTTGCAAGGAAATTTTGACCATGCATTACAATACATTTCTATTTTCATAGTGCTTTTACAACAGTTTTCCTTGCGACAAGAGGGCTACAGGTGAATGCCTGCTGACAGTTTGTGACCTTGAACAAACACTGACGAGAACGCAACATTCGCTACCTTCGCAAACACTAGCAAATGTTTGTTGCTCAGTGGGAAAGGGGTTAGTGGACCATAGGCATGTGAAAACGCTGAAATGTAAAGTGGATGGCATCTGTATAAGTATGATAAGAGATGAGCAAGGGGCAGATATTAAATAGAGGTGGTCCTAGAATGGACCCTTGTGGAACCCCGCATGTGATCTTTTTTTTTGCTCAGACTCATGACGACCAACTGAGTACTAATATACCACCAAATATAAAACCAAACTTTGTTAATCTATGCCATCTGAACAACGAAAATCTTATACATGAGATGTCAGACAGTACAATAAACCTGTATCATTTATCCACACAATGTGTAACCTTCCTGCAAGTATATCAGCTTAGAGCTTAATCAAACAGAACCAGATTTTACCAACGGTAATTACAATTGTAAATTGAGACGAGATCATCATTATCCCAGTTTTTATTCAAATTCAAATTTTGCTCATGTAAAATGGCTGCCTTGGCTTATTAAAGGCGGGGAAACAGTGCTTTGCAAGACCTGTGGCGTTTATAGCAGACACTAAATATTTGCATCATGGTGTGCCTTCGCAACCAAATGACTTTTATGCAAACCCACCATCCAAAAAGGGCTGATTTATGATTCGATCGGGAGAAATTGCTCTGCTCATGAAGCTCCGCTAAATTTTATCTTCAATAACCATGATAGCAATAACTTTGCTGTTGGGCAATGATTGAAATGCACTCAAACTAAAAGTTAGACAGTATGAATCTTTTACTGGCCGGCAACATCAATACGCCACCGTCACATGTAGGCAGAGGAGCGTGTCCAGATCTGGGCTGATTTACCACAGCCCGTGTCTTAGCTTTATCACCATTGCTGAAAAAATAGCTCCTGAGATGGAATAATCCGTCATTAACTCATCACTTCTTTTGTCTTGGCGTACACAGCATGGTGGGCCACGCATCAACTTATCATTAACTTTGCATCTTTTATTTATTACTTTTAACTTCAGCTGGCCACTCACTGAACATTTCCTTTACGTCGGACACATGCTACCACATTAACTCTTATAGGGTCTTAACAGACTCGGGGGTAAATGCTAATGCTAACTCCTCAGCGACCACCTCAAAGAGCTGCTTGATTCTGCCAAGCTCAGCGCCTTTCAGCCCGACGGCCCATCGCTCACTTCCCTGCAGGACTTCACACAACAGACAAACTTGTTCCACTGCAGCACATCATCTGTCCATCTTTGACACAACACTTGTAACATTCTATCAAAATCAACATGTACGATTGGTTCTGTGTTCCAGCTCTTGACCAGACACTACCATTAAGCCGCACTAAATATTGATCACTGCGACATGATACAACGTACCACACTTTTTAATAACCCTAAATCTCCTGTTTATTTCATACTGAATTGATGGCACAGCTGAACTGACACCCACCCATCACCCACCTCATTCAAAAGCTGATATGATCCATTACAACGCGGACTTTAGACTTTGCGTTTTTACCCCATCAAACATTAATGACCTCGTCTACTGTAAGCATTATTCTACATATCACCATTATGACAACAACCATGAACCATTTTTCTGGCTCCAGGTTTGGAGTGATGAAAATCAGTGATATGGATTCGTCATTTCCTTGTGTGTATGCATCTGTACTTTGCTCCGGGAAAAGAGGAAGGAGCACTTGTTGCACTTATTACACGACACTAACTGTCTTCCTTATTTTCTCATTTGCCATTGTCGTTCTCCTGGTGATCTGCCCAGAGCACCTCACTCTCATTCTTTGTAATACATTTCTTGTGGGTGTTCTTCAGAAATGTACTCTGGTTTATCTCACATCCATGATGAGTTCATAAATGGCAGTTTGCACCTGGGTTCGGAATGCTGTGACATACTCAAGGACCATTGATTGTTCTCTTGTGCTGCATTTGCAGCCACTCACCGTTCTGGAGGTCAGCATGGGGGGGTTGTCGTTTATGTCGGTGACCGTGATAATGGCGGTGGCCGTGTTGGAAAGACCAAAATTCAGGTTGCCCTCCATGTCCGTGGCTTGAACGATGATAGTGTACTGGGACACTTTCTGTGAAGGCGAAAACAAAGGACAACAGTGTACTTAGTGTTCAGCTGGAGGTACAAAAACAAGTTGTCAGAATGACTTTTTTGTGTTATAATGACTAGTTGCCCATATTTAAAACTCAGAATCGCAGGCTTTTCACTTGACTGTAACCTCCTAAGCTTGGCTTCATGCAATCTGAGCGCTGTCTTCTCGCAATATTATTAACAGTGACATCGCCAAATTCAGTGCCACTGACGGACAGATGTGGAGACAACGATATATCAGACAAAGATTAATTGACGATCTGTGAAGCAATAGAATGATAAATGCCATTCCATATCTTGAATGACACAATATCACTTAACTGGAAGATGAAAAATGTGGCTGTTGTCGTGTTATATCTGAGCGTATTTGTGAGTGTCTGCATGTGGCGTCCCCTCCCTCGCCAATGTTTTTCTTCTTTCCCTCCCTCTCCTGCCTTCCTCTGTCTTTCTTACTGTCCCACGGTGCAGTTAATGGGCTGTGGGAAGGATGGAGCCCCACAACTGCCTGTCTGGATAATGTGTCTTGTCACTGGAATTCCAAATTACATTTCCAGTGTCTCTCTAACCTGCTAATTACAGAGTAAATATCCCAATTAGGCCATGATGCCACATCAGGAGGGTCAGACAGCTTCTTGCATTTCTGCTCTTGATGCTCAACGAGATGCTGAAATTTACACGCACACCCTCATTACCTCACATGCACAAACACCACTCACAAATGTCCGCGTGCGCACGCACACACACACACACACACACACACACACACACACACACACACACACACACACACACACACACACACACACACACACACACATCTCTCCTTTGCGAGTCTTATTAAGAGGTGGTCTGTGCTTGATTGTCCCATCAGCCAGCGTATGGCCTGTACACAGCACTCACGCTAATTAGAAAGAAAAGAGCACAGGAGTGGAGGGGAAGAAGCAGTTGGGGATACAGTTGAAGCACAGGGAAAGGGGATTACCAAAAATAGACACAGTTTTTTTTTCTTGTTGTTATTGTCTGTTTTTTTTTTTTTATTTTGTTTTGTTTTGTAGAGTCTAACATCCCCAACATGGAAACTGCAGAAAGGGAAAAGGAAGCACAGAAAGTTTCACGGTTTCAAGGGGCCAAAGTGCTGACTATAAGTGGACCAGTATAACACTGTGGTGTGCGGTGAAGTTTATGTTTAGTGCATAGGAACCCCCCCCCCCCACAGGTTAGGAGAATTCTCGACTACTCTCAAAGGAAAGTGCCGGAGGAGGAAAAACAGGTTTGTAATTCATATAGCAAAGAAATTACAGATGCATGCACACGTAAGCATAAAAAGATATGTATACATATGCAACCAAGCATCTGTTAATAAATGTATTTTTCAAATTGCTTCAAAGAACACAAAAAAAAAAATCCTCGCTTCTTTTGCTGTCCAAAAGCACATGTCCAAGGCTAACTCCCTCTCCCGCTCACATCACCACACGTTACAACTTTACTGATGGCACGCTAGAAGTCGCCGATAGCTTCAAGTAACTTTGCTTTGAATTCAATTCAATGCATTCAGTTGACATCAGCCAGGACTGCGG